TCTTGCGCAAGTGCACACAGTTGGCACTCAACAAATGTTTGCTGGATGGGTGAATATTAAGGAAATAAATATGAATAAGTCACTCTTTGCTGAAGTTTAGAGTGGTAAAAGAAGAAGGAGTTCTCTCTTTTCCTCTCTTTTTCCACCTAGACTTTATTCCTTCAGTTATTACTGGCAATGTGTTACTAATAGACTGTGATCCAAAACAGGAAACTGTCCTAAAGGAAATTTTCATATTCTACTTTAAAGTAAAAATCCAAAGTTGAGCTCACCCTTGGAAAACTTAGGCTGGCTGGTCTGTCTTCACTTAGTTCCTCCACACACAGGGAGGTGGAGAGGGAGAGCTGGGCAGGAGGCCAGAATAGGAGCGAATGGGGAGTGAATTCCAGAGTTTGTGAGCTAGGATGGAAATAGAGGACTATAGAATGTAGCTTTTACCATTATCATGTAGAAATAAATAGAATCAACCTAAACCAAAAATAAAAAGCACCACACCATTGTTTTTTCCTGAGATCCAAACAGTGATCTGTGGCATGACTTAAGGGATAGAAGTAAAGAATTCTGACCAAAATTATGACCCCAGTTCCTGTCATTTCATCATTCACGCCTTATTTTGGGGGGGGGGGGGTTAAAGTTATTCTTTTCCAGGAGTCCCTTATTTTTTACCAGCTTTATTGAAATACAATAGACATATAATATTGTGTAAGTTTAAGGCATACAATGTGTTGATTTGATATACTTATATATTGTGAAATGATGACCTCAGTAGGGTTATTAACACATTCATTACCTCACCTAATAACCATTTAATTTTTGTAACGAGAACATTTAAGATCTACTCTACTAGTAACTTTCAAGTATACAATATAGTATTGTTAACTATAATCATGCTGTACATTGGTTTTCTAGAACTTATTCATTTTCTTTTTTCTTAAGGATTTTATTTTATGTTTAAATTTATTTATTTATTTTGAGGGGGGAGGAACAGAGAGAGACAGGGAGAGAGAGAATCCCAAGCAGATTCCACAATGTCAGCTCAACACTTAATCAACTGAGCCACCCAGGTGCCCCTAGAACTTAACTCATTTTCTAATTGAAAGTTTGTATGCTTTGACCAACATTTCTCCATTTCACCCACCTCCCAGCCCCTTGCAACTACCATTCTATTCTGTTTCTGTGATTTGGCTCTTTTAGATTCTACATATAAGCAATATCATACAGTACTTGTCTTTCTGGCTTATCTCACTGAGCATAATGCCCTCAAGGTCTATCCCAGTTGTTGCAAATGGCAAGATTTCCTTCTTTCTCACAGCTAAATAATATTCCATTGTGTATATATGCCACATCTTCTTTACCCATCCATCTGTAGACTGGCACAGCCATATCGTGGCCATTGTGAGTAATGCTGCAATGAATGTGGGGATACAGTGTCTCTTTGAGATCTTAATTTCATTTCCTTTTGGTACATACCCAGAGGTAGAGTTGCTGGACAATACAGTAGTTATACTTTTAAGTTCTTGAGGACATATCACACTGTTTTCCATAGTGGTTGCACCAATTTACATTGCCACCAGCAGTGCACCACGATTCTCTTTTCTCCACATTTTTGCCAACACTCGTTATCTCTTGTCTTTTTGATAATAGCCATTCTAAAAGTGTGAGGTAATATCTCATTGTGGTTTTGATGTGCATTTCTCTGATGATGAATGATATTAAGCATATTTTCATGTGCCTGTTGACCATTTGTATATCTTATTTGGAAATATGTCTATTCAATTACTCTGCCCATTTTTAAAAAAAAATTTTTTTAACGTTTATTTATTTTTGAGACAGAGAGAGACAGAACATGAACGGGGGAGGGTCAAAGAGAGAGGGAGACACAGAATCTGAAGCAGGCCCCAGGCTCTGAGCTGTTAGCACAGAGCCCAACGCAGGGCTCAAACTCAGACTGTGAGATCATGACCCGAGCTGAAGTCGGACGCTCAACCGACTGAGCCACGCAGGCGCCCCTCTCTGCCCATTTTTTAATCGAATTATTTTGGTGTGTGTGTGTGTGTGTGTGTGTGTGTGTGTGTGTGTGTGTAGGAGAGGTTTTGCTATTGAGTTGTATGAATTCCTTATATACTTTGTATATTAACCCCTTATCAGATATATGATTTGTAAATATTT